GCCCCCCGGGGATAACAAGGAATACCGGCCACAAGTTGTTGGAGAGGAGGTTCAGATTAGACATCCGTAGAAACTACTTCACTGTCAGGGCGGCTAGGGTCTGGAACCGACTCCCAAGGGAAGTGGTGCTGGCTCCGACCCTGGGGGGCTTTAAGAAGCGGCTCGATGCCTACCTAGCCGGGGTCACTTGAGCCCAGTTTCCCTCCTGCCCAGGCAGGGGGTCGGACTTGAAGATCTACAAGGTCCCTTCCGATCCTACTTCTATGATTCTATGATGACCCCAGCTTCAGCTCCAGGCCAGGCCAGGCTGGGCTCATAGCACTATCCCTGCCCTCAGCTTATCCTAAGCTCTGAATCAGGCATCAGCTAAACTCAGAGTTGCTGCAGTTGTTTTGGGCTGGCCAGGCTGGGCCATGGCAGTTGCTGCTGTTTCTCTTGAAGCAAGAGCCACCCCAAGAAAAGTGGTGGGGACAGGTACCTAGGGGCAGGGAGAGGCACATGGCAGCAGGTGGCAGGCATGGGGGAAGCCATGGAGGGGCAGGCAGAGGCATAGGGGCAAGGACAGACAGCAAGGAAGCAGGCGCAGGCATGGAGATGTCAAGAAGCAAGGGAATAGGCACTGGGGGGTGGGGGCAGGTGGCAAGTGGGTGGGGCACAGGCAGTCAGAGGGTCAAGGGGCAGGGGTCTGGCCCCCTTGCTCCCTTTTCCTACTGCAGCAGTGGGGGAGATGAATTTAAAGTAACCCTCCACTAATTAATTTCTATGCTTGGAAAATTATACAAATTTATAATATTCCATATATAGAATCTAATTATGGGGGGTCATCTTAAATTTGAAGTTGTCTTGGATTCAGATAAAAAAAAACAACAGGACTCTTTCTCCTTCATTTAAGATGCCATATATTGAATGGCATAGAAAGGAATACAGATGGAATGGGGACAGTCTTTTCTGACTGATTTTACTAAACAATGCCATACAAGTTTTAAAGCCAAAACAAAATGATGTGCCACTACTGATTTTATGCCAACCCCCACCCCCCAAATAACGCTGATTATTATTTGCTATTTTAAAATTTTGACAACTATTAGGAAAATTAAACTAAACACCTCACCAAACAGATTCCCACTCCAGCTGATCTTCTCAGCACACACATTGTCAAACTTCTCCATTTTAACTACTTCTGCTTGATGCTGTGCAAAGGCCACCTGAAATAAGGATGCAGCTCATAATTTTGCAAGGCCAGCATAGTTACTGAATATGCCATCTGGAAAAATAGTGACCTTATAATTAAACAAGAAAAAGAAAGAATAGCACCCACTATGCATTAAGCACTACTGGCTGGGAAGATACATTTTTTGTCCTTCTATATTTTACCTTTCAGGAAAGCACCAGAAATGTTCAATTTCTTGCAACAAAAATGGACACCACAAGTGAAAACTTTCGGAAGAGGATTTGTAACAAATTAAGTTACGCTATCCATTTAGGCTGTTGTCTGAAGTGAGAGCATATCATTCATATACCTACTAACTTGCATGCCACAAGCACGTTTTCTCAAAAAAGTCAACCCTCCAAAATTGGGCTAGATGTCTTAAATGGAAAAACTGATTTTCTTTGACTGTGCCCCTCCTGCTTGCTGGAAGGGAGAGATGCTGGCATCTATTTTGAAGCACACTCATCTTCATGACTGTGGAAAAAAATCTTCTCTCCTTACATTCTGCCTTCCAGAAAACAAGGTGCATATCTTATTGGGTGTGGTATAAGGTATACAGGAAAATACAGTATTTTTTCTTCTAGTAGGTTAACTTATGGGCGTGAGCTAGTTTTCTTAAACAGTCTTCCAAATGAAGACTTTCATTATATCATAAGGCAAACGTAGCCCAAGGCAACAAATATCCTTTTATTGGATACATCACTGTAATGGATTGTGTCAATTCAAAGTTTTTCATTTCCTTTTGAACTGACCATATTTCAAGTACTACTCCTGTCAGTTTTTGTGGTCTTATATTTTCCAGTTCTCTCTCTCTCTCTCCTGTTGCGGTGTGGAAACCCCATATGGACTGGAAGGAATGGGCAAATATTCCCAGCATGCCACTAAGCATACAAAGTAAACAAACTAAATGAGGCCTTTCCCCGTGGGATCTCTTTTACAGGAAGGCATGCACAACTTGTATAAATAAGGCCTTCTTAAATAACATATGACTTTTAAGTTAGGATATGTTGTATAAGGTCTCCTGAGGCAAAACTTAGCAAAGCGCAAAGTAAAAAATTCTTACTCTGAATTTTAAATTTTAAGTTAAAATTTCACACTTCAGCAAAGTATTAAGTAAATGAACTTACTGAGACACATTTTAGTAACTGTAGGAGACAGAATCCTCTGATCAATACAAACAAAATCAAAATAAAATTACCTGCTCTATGATTAAAGTAGCACTAGGCTGTAGTAGCAGCTAAAGTATATAATAAATCTGCACTCCAAATGGTTTAAATGAGCTAGTGAACTCTTTTAGACATAGGTTAGTTTTTTTTTCATTAAAAACCTTTCCTACGTTACTGCTTTGGAGAGCCACTCTTAAGACCTTTGTGCAGGAGAATTACATGGTTCTGTTGCTTTCTGGATTCTGTGCACCACTGCAACAAGGCCAAGGGAAATTTTATTTCAATCTAATAACTACTCAATGCAATTTGAAGCATTTCTGTTCTTCTATTTATTTTGGCAATCAACAACATAATTTTGTAGTCTAATCCCCACTCCCAAACTCTAAGGAATTTTAAGTTTACTATTAAAAGTTTACCATTAGAAACAGATCCAGAACTTCCGATTTACTTACCTTATACAAGTAAACCCAGTTCCATCCAAAACTGATGAGAAAACAAATTAAGAACACACGTTTTATCTGAGTAAGCCAGGAAATCCTTGTCCATAACTCAGTAGCTATGATTACAACAATGCACACTAAACACAAGAGTCCCTGAAAAGAAAAAGGGCAGAGGAGAGTCAAAATCCAGACACAGAACTTGAGTTTACTAACTTGGAAGTGAGAGAACTACAAAATTTACTGTGCCAATTTCACTTATATTTCTACTGCATCAAGTTGCTGCAAAAAGACCGTTAGGAGACTGCTGTCTCCTTTTCAGAGAACATCCTATTTCACTATAGAAAAAGGAATGCTTTCCATGATTTAATGGTCATGCCTTCAGAAAATCTTTTCTAGTCACCATAAATTTCACTGAGAGCACCTGACAAAGTAGACTGTAGCCTAAGAAAGCTCATTCCTCTAAATACATTATTCTATTCAATTATATTTAACAATGCTGTTATAATAGTTCCCTCACACTGTTATAGATCTAATTAGTGCGGGAGCAGTAAGTGCATGGCAAAAACAAGAAAAGCCCAACCCCTATACCTGCACATTGTGGCAAAGCTGCTCTGACAGTAGTTTAAGACGAATTAGTATATGCAGAGAGGAATGAGAAACAGCATAGGAAGAGCTGGTAAGACATCACTGGTAAAGGAAGAGACGGTATAAAAATACAATCCAAAATTTGAATTTTTCATTGGATATAAACGGGCACATTCTGAATGATAAAAGAACTTTGCTGACTTACAAAGTTATTCAAAAGACAAGGTAGATATAAGGAATGCATTGATACACTGGTCCATATTGTATCAGCACTGATAAAAGGAAAATTGACATTACTGGTAATTACCTTTACTGGCTGATGTAGCTGATGTTTCTGATAAATGTCATGTGTGAACATGGCCAGGAGTGCAACCACTGCTGGGGGGGAGGGCCATTGTGGGGGTGGGGAGGACGCAGATCAAGGTCCCTGTGGTGAGGGAGGGAGTGGGGCTGGGGCAGGGACTTCCTTGCTGGGGTGTGGGGTGGAGCCAGCAGCTTGGGCGGGTGGGGGGCAGCACCCCCCCCAGGAGAGGCATGGGAGGCATGTGCCCCCCAGATCTGTGTGTGGGGCAAGGGCAGGCTGCTGCTGCAGGTTTGCATGTTGTGTTGGGCTCTTCCCAGCCGCTGCGCTCAGGCCAGGCAGCAGCTAGGAGGGAGGCTACGGGGAGGGCAGAAGGCTCAAGCCACTGCCATAGCTGGTTCCATAGCCCCCCTCTCAGCACCACCGCTGCCTGCCCTACCTGGCCCAAGCACAGCCTGGGAACAGCTCCCCACCACGAAGTGGCTGGTACAGCCCTCAGCCCAAGTGGCAGCCTGCCCTCACCCCGCACACAGATCCAGGGGGCACATACCCACCATGCTTCCACCAGGGGTGCACAGAGCAGGGGGAGCCACCCCCCAGACGAGCTACCAACTCTGTCCTGCACCCTGCCCTGGCAGGGCAGTGCCAGTGCCTGCTCCCAGCCCCACTTCCTCCTTCACCATGGGGACCCCAATCTGTAACCCCACCCACACTTCTTCCCTCCCCACGTTCCCTCCCCACAACTGACTTACCAGCCAGATGCTGCTCTTCAAGCTGCCAGGCTGCATATCGGATCAGTACTAGCCGATATGACTGGTCAATAATTGGCCATTGGTACTGACCCAAAAAAATCTTTATCAGTGTACCCCTAGTAGATATACATCTTTATTGATTAAGGTATCTTTAACTTAGGGCAGGCAACTTTTGTGCGCCAGATCCATAAACCTGGCAATCCAGGACACCTCACTGTCTCTGGCATTAGCACCATCACAGAGGGAGTTTCTAGCTAGTGTTCTGGCTCTATTCATTTCCCTAATGCCATTGGAGCCACAGCAGCTGTTCGAAAGACATGACAGATTTCTTAAAGAAACTAGGCTCCACTGACAAGCTTCCAGGAAATGCCGTATTAGCTACCATGGATGTCACATCTCTGTATGCCAACATCCCCCATGAGGATAGATTACAAGCCGTAAAGAACATTATCCCTGATGAGAAACCTGCTTGTTTGCATTACACTCTCCCACTTTGTCCTCACACGCAACTATTTCAAGTTTGGGAACTCCCTATAACTACAAACAAATGGCACCTCCATGGGCATATATATGGCCCCCCAATATGCCAACATATTTATGACTAGGGATCCAGGTTTTCCGTTTCCCACAGAAGAAAACGTGGATTTTCCCTTTTGACCAAGAAAAACAGACTTTTCATTTTAACAGGGAAACACGGATTTTCCACTTTTGCAAAGACCTCTATGCAGGCTGGAAGAGTTTACACATACACGATCCTTGTTATGATCAGGGATCCTGGTTTTCCCTGATAAAAAAAATATCAGGGAAAACCAAATTCTCCGATTAAAAAATTGTAAAATCTCTGATAAAAACTCCTAAATCCATTATTAAAAGAAAAGGCCCCTCACTCCCCCCCCACACACCCCCAGCCCTGCTGGTGCCCCTCCCCGCTCCCCCAGCCCTGGCAGAGGGGGCCCCCAGCTGCCTGGGCTGTAGGGACAGGGATCCAGGTCCACAGCCCCCTGCCCCTGGCAGGAGGCAGCAGCTACTATAGCGGAGCAGAGTCTAGCTCCCCACCCCACAATGCCTGATGCACACCAGGGAGCAGGGGAAACCCATGCCCCAGATCTGTAAGTGGGGTGGGGGTGGGCTGCCCGCTGCAGGCACCTGCCCTGCTGCCCTCCCCTGGGGCCTCCAGAGTCCAGTGAGCGTGACCAGGCACTGTAGGGAACAGCAGGCCCGCACAGGTAAGGTGCTTGCAAGTTCCATGTTGCCCTGGTGAAGCATCCCACACCCACATGGCAGCAAGGGGCACAACCCCACGTGCCCCCCACCGCTGCTCCCACGCAGGCAGGGGATGCATTGCCAGGACAGTGCAGAGCTTGCAGCAGCAAACAGCTTCCCCACGCGGCCCCACTCTACCTTGCAGTGCCAGGATGTACTCTCTGGGCTGCAGAAGCCCCAGGGTAGGGCAGCCTGTGCCTGCCCCACATACAGATCTGGGGGGCATGGGTACCTCCTGTCCCCCTACCCCCAAAGTAGGTGCGGTAGTGGGGACCTGGCTCCACCCCACCCCACAACAAGCTACCTGCGGCCCCATCTCACTCCCCACCGGGGCCCTCCCCCACAACTTACCTGCAGGAGCTGCTCACTGGTGGCCATGAGCATATGCTCATGCATATGTATATGCATACATATGCATGTATATGCATACATGCCATGAGCATATGCGGCATATATGCCATGAGCATATGCATACACGCACATGTATATGCATACACCTGGCGGCCATGAGCATATACATGTGCATGGCGCCCCTTGCCTGACTGCCCTCCTCCTGCTCCCTCCCAGCCCCCTGCACGCTGGAACTCTGCCAGCCTGCAGAGAGCTCTTTACAAAACTGCAAAATCTGCAAGTTTCTCCATTAAAATGAGAAATCTGCGCTTTCCTCCGGTAAAGGGGGAAATCCATGTTTTTCTTTGTTTTCCCATGGGAAACTGAAAACCTGGATCCCTGGTTACAATAGACCTGGAAATTTGTTTCCTCCGCAACAGCCTCTCATCCCCCTTCGTATACCTCAGGTACATTGATGACATCTTCATAATATAGATATATAGGAAGGAAACTACAGATATTTCACCAGGACTTAAAAAAAAACTTTCACCCCTCCATCAGACTAGGTCTGAAATAATCCTTGCAACAGATTCATTTCCTAGGCACTACAGTGAAAGTCTGCATTTCCTGGATCACCACTACACTGTACTGGAAACCAAGCAACTGCCACAGCTATCTTCACACCACCAGCTTTCACCCTAAATACACTAGATCCATCATCTATAGCCAAACTCTATATTACAACTGGATCAGCTCTGATCCCACATTGGGATGCACATCATAAAAAGTTACAAGACAATCCCAAAACTCAAGTCCCTGCAAGACACAAACGGTAATCTTGTGGCTACACCAGACAAGCAAGCTGATATTTTTAACAGTTTCTTTGCCTCTGTTTTCTTGAACAGGGACCAGGATATCCCACCTACCAGAGGTAGGAACAATCTTGGGGATAGCTCTATCAGGCCTTCAGTCAGCACAGATGTAGTTAGGGATCTTCTGGAAGGGCTAGACATTTTTAAGTCTGCAGGTCCAGATGCCCTCCACCCAAGGGTGTTGAGGGAGCTGGCAGAGGTCATTGCGGAGCCCTTGGCCTGACTGTATGAGCATTCGTGGTCATCTGGCCAGGTGCCGGAGGATTGGAAACTGGCTAATGTCCTCCCAATTTTCAAGAAGGGGAAGGAGGACCCAAGTAACTACAGGCCTGCAAGCCTCACCTTGGTGCTCGGGAAGATCTTGGAGAGAATCATCAGGGAGCACATATGTGGGGGGCCAGCAGGGGAGATAATGCTCAGGGGCAATCAGCATGGGTTCAAAGGCAGGTCCTGCCTGACCAACCTGATTGCCTTTTATGACCAAGTAACTAAATCCTTGGACGATGGTGTCGCTGAGGACGTAGTCTTTCTAGACTTTAAGAAGGCCTTTGACACTGTCTCTCACCCCATCCTCAACAATAATTAAGCGACTGTGGCATTGATGCCTACACAGTTGGATGGGTAAAAAACTGGCTGATGGGGCGCACCCAGAGAGTAGTGGTTGATGGGTTGTACTCAACCTGGAGAGATGTGAGCAGTGGGGTACCCCAGGGCTCGGTCCTCGGGCCCACACTATTTAACATCTTCATCAGCAACTTGGATGAGTGGGTGGAAAGCATGCTGTCCAAGTGTGCTGATGACACTAAGATGTGGGGCGAGGTGGACACACTTGAAGGGAGAGAGAGGCTGCAACTAGATTTAGGCAGATTACAGAAGTGGTCCTCGCCCCTACCTTGGGCAAATTCAAGAGGAGGTTGGATGATTGCCTGTCTGGGGTCTTGTGAACCCAGCATTCATTCCTGCCTGTGGCAAGGGGTCAGGCTAGATGATCTGTTCAGGCCCTCCTGACCCCAGCTACTATGAAACTATGAAGCTACTCAAATCAACAACACCAGACTCAGGCCTAACTCTGATCTGCTACAATACCAATGCCAGGACAACGGAAACAGAATCCCTCTGGCTGTCACCTACAGCCCCCAGCCTGAACACCTCAGACACATGATTAATAACCTCCAATCCCTCCTGAAATAGCATGACAACTTCAAGGCAGCCATGGCAGACAAACCTGTCCTGGCTTATAGACAACCCCTGCAACCTCAAATGGGGTCTCTCAGGTAACAGGCTACCTAATTCCTATTTTCACCAAGGCACCAGGCCTTGCAATGGACCCAACTACCTACTGTGCTCCTACATCAATACAGAATACATTATTACTGAACCAAATAACAAGGAGTACAACATCTGAGCTTCATTCATCTGCAGCTCTACTGATGTCATATATACCTTCACCCGCTTACAATGCCCACCTTCACTGGGTGGAGAGAGCAATCTCTACATGTAAGAATGAATGAAGGAACACCGATCAGACATCAGCTGCAGAAAAATACAACAGTCTACAACAGAACACATCAACCTCCCTGGCCACTCCAGTGCTGATCTCAGGATTGCTGTTCTCAGGCAGAAAAATGTTAAATACCAGTTTGAACAGGAAGCTGCAGAACAGGAAATAATCCACAAACTGGACTATGTTAAATATGGTTTAAACAGGGATGATGGATTCTTATCCCATTACCTGGATTAACTTTTGTGAACCCTTTGTGCTCTATGCATCTCATTTAGCTAGTCTATAAAGGAACCTATCTACCCTGCTTTCTAACATCAGACTAACATGACTAACCATCTCTCTTTACATAGTTGCAACAGAATCTCAGTCAAATTATTTAATTTGTGATTATTAAATTAAAAATCAGTTTTGCTTAAAATGTTTTAAGTTACTGAGCTACCAAAAACGTTATTTAACAATGATATTTGTCAATTTGTGCCTTGCTAGAAGCAAATATATTAGCATATTTACTTGAATTTAAGTCAACCCTAAATTTAATACTGCCCCCCATATTCTATATATGAAAAAAATGTTTACATCTGTTATAATTTTCCAGGTATAGAATCTAATTATTGGAGGGCTATCTTAAATTCATTCCCTACCTCCCTCCTGCTACAACAGAGAAAGCGGTGGGGGAGGGGCGGTCAGGTGGCCCCCTTACCTTCTGCCCTCCCCACTTCTCAGTATTACAGTATTCAGACTAAGCCCCCCGTAAGGGTACATGAGCAGAGTCTAAACTGCTCAGTCCATGGGAACTCTGAATCCTTATAGACTTTGTATATTCTGGGCCCTAATAAAGTTAAAATGGATTCTAGTTAGCAAGACTACAATATCTGGTTGGATAAGAGACAGAATACAAAAAAGATCAGCAGATGCGGAGAGTTCAAAAAGCTACTTCCTATAGGGATTCGAAAGGTAGAGAGAAATCAGACAGACCAAATAATAATGTCTCTTACCATAAAGATATCGTATGGACAAACTCCAAATGCGTCCTCAAACCTCCATTTCCAAGCCTCATAATCATGATGCTTAAAATTAGTTTGCATATCATTAAGGGCATCATCCAAAGCAGCAGGTTGCAAGTCCTCCTCATGGAGAAACCTTTCGATCTCTGAAAGAGTTTGTTTTGTAAGGACGATCTCAGAATCATAATGCATGCTACCAGTATTTTCATTAGGCTAAAAAGAAAGCAATACAAAACCATGATTAATCAAATATTTCAATAGGAAATCTATACAAAAACAAATAAGAATATGAAGTGTTAGATATTAAGTATTGAATGACCCTTTCACCATTATGCAATCAGATCTGTGAAAGTAGGACCTGGTTTCCATGTGGACTTTCAACAGAGTCCTAATTCTGGGTGGTCATAAGATCTTCCTGTATGGGTCAGGCAACCAGAGTAAGGCTATATTTGAGATCTATAGTTTTTGTAGCCTTTTTGTTCATTTTTCTGCATCCAAAAAACTGGAAGTTGATAAGTAAATCGTATACTTTGAAATTTTCTTCCAAAATACATGAAAAACAAGAGCAGAAGCTCTTTACGTTTTGTTAGGATATCAGCAAATCTCCCTACTAGCAGATAGTAGTAAGTCATCTGTTCTAAAACAGAATGGGGTCCAAAATGTAGCAGGAAGGATTTAGACAGAAACTGTCTTGTTTACCAGTGGCAACTTTAGTATTGAAACATGGAAAATTTTATAATACATTCCATTTCTAGTCCTGTAGTGCTCATTATTTAACTTATACTTAAGGAAAAACTCTCTGCTCCAATGGGAAAAAAGTAATAACCAAAAAGGTGAGAATTAAACCAAGTAATCCTGTTTTATGCAAGCTCAAAAAATATATGTTAAAAAATGGTCAAATGAAAAAGACTGACAAGAACTTGTTTCTTGAGATCCAGTTAGCATACCCATAGTCTGGGTAGTGCACTACTTTACCTACACATCATTTCATAAACACATTGAATTCTGAACTTCAGTAATAATCTTATGAATTCTCCCTATATTGTGGGGGCAGAGGGACAAGATCTTCTCTAGGTGGCAAAACCTGCCTACTTTTCCATCACTGGAACTGAAATTACAATATCGTAGGAATAGTTTTATTTTCTTTACATCAACCGTATTACAATAATCTATAAAAAATGACTTTTTACTGCAGTCTCATTTATTGTAAGGGGAATACACTTAAGTGCCTCTGATTGGTAATAATGGCAATTACAGTAAAAAAACAAAGCAACATGCAAAATACTATTTTATTAACAAATACTCACAAAACCAAGTTTTCTAATTTCATTTAGAATTTTATTCAAGTAACGCCTAAAAATATGAATGCTGCTGCTTTCATATGAGTTGATCTTCTCCTTCTTCTTATAGTCCTCAATCTACAACAACAAAACATTATAGATTACTGTCTTCCACCAATAACATTAAATTTTAGTATAAGATTATCAATAACATAATATATTAGTGCCCTACACTGATAAAGGCAAGTTTCCCAATATTAGCCTGTTACAGCTACTATATCAGACAAAATCATACCAAGGACTTTAAGAACAATTGTTTTCATATATTCCACAGATTCAAAGCTAAATAGATTAAATTCAAATAGATCTAGATTCAAAGCTAAATATCAAGGACTTTACACAGTATTTTTCCATTGTACCTATTTCATTTATCTGTACACCACTGCCAAATCTGTATTTTTGTGAAAAGAAGTCTGTAGAAAATGCTGCAAATTCTGTTTTCATAGATCTATTATGTGTGTGTATTTTTAATTAGAAATACGTAATGTGTATGGAACATTTCATTTCCCTCTTTTGTTTCTGATCAATGCAGTACTTGATATCACAATCTGAAGGGTCAGAATCAGATCCTAACATTATCCTAAAAATTCACAGCAATACAACAAAACTGTCTAAGTACAATTTACTACAACAAACAAAATGAACACCTGTTTTCATCTGACTAATGTAGCCTACCTATAATTTGCTGTTTTGGGGAAAACAGCAGCACCTACTAGGGAAATTTCCAAATGTCTGTTTTAAACAGTCAAAAGCCTAACTCTTGTCCCTCTGTGGGCAGAGTCATGTTTCAAACACTCTAGGACTAGATTGCTGGGTGGCAGTCCCATTTTCTGAACTATGTTAATACAACAAGTATAGTTGGATTTGGCACCTGAAAGCCCTCTCTCTTCCAGGACCTGTGACAAGTCAGATGAATCTACGGTTGTTTCATATCTAAGGGTTGTCATTTACTATAAGCTGCTCTGAGCCTTTCTAGATAGGGCAGGATATAAATCTGTAGCTAAACAGTAATAACAATAATACAAATAATTCTAATCACATTATCAGAGTCTAGATTTTGCTTTAAAAAAGAAAATTTCTAAATAGCCTGATAGTTGCAAAATCCAGAAACTAATTCTGGTTTCAAATAAGATTTTAAAAAACAGGGAAATTGAAAGGAAAATCTGCAGAAATTCTACAAATCAGCATTCTAAAAAATCTGCAAAAGTCTAAAGATGATAGCGCCAAAGCTAACTGCAAAGTACAAACACTGACTCTCTGATGGTACAGTCTATTCATTCAAACCTCAGCGGCCTAATCTCTGAATCCAAATCGAATTGGGAGACTCATTAAAAGGTCCAAATCGAATCCAAAGCCTCTGAATCAATTCAAAAAAGATTCATAGAGATTCGGACCAGCCGGGGAGAGGCAGGCACAGCCGGGCACCTGCAGATTCTCCCGTAGCTCTTCTGGCTATGCCTGCCTCTCCCCAGGCAGGGGTGCGGCGTGCCCCCCCCTCCCCCCAGGCGGGGGGAGCCGTGGGAGAAGCCCCCATGGCTGCCCTGCCTGGCCCCATCCTCCACCCAGCCCCAGATGCCTGACACTTGAAAAAAAGAAAAAGAAAATCCCGCACTCGTTGGCTGCAGCAGCGGGGATCAGGGCCTCAGGGGGTTCACGGCAGCAGGAGAAGGGCAGCAGTGGCAGACAGGGGGCAAGTGGCAGCAAGCGGGAGCACAAAATAGAGAGAGAGAGAGACAGAGACAGATAGAGACAGACAGTGAGCTGGTTATCCAAGAGGTACTATACTGTAAAGACATAGAGGTCTCTCTCTGTAGAGGTGAGGGACCTAAACTTCCCAATTCTAGGCTCTTCCAGAGACAGAGGGCATGTCTTCACTGTAGCAGCAAGGCACTGCTATTGAAATATCTCCATGCAGTGGCACCTGCAGGCATGCTTCAAACCTGAATGTATGCCTATAAAGAGGCTGAGGGGGTCCCCTTGAAGTGTATATGAAGTCAGCTTCCAGCATATTTGAATGGAGCCACTGGGGACAAACCTAGAGCAGCCTGACTGCTGTACTTCCATGTTTGGAGAGCAGCAGGGGGATAACATATGCTCAGCAGTAGCGCATCACAGCCACAGTCTAGACAAACCAAGACAGGTCTCCAACATTACTTAGGCTGTTTTGCCAGCAGTGTAACCCCAGACTGGTGAGAGAGAGAAAGCTTCTGTTGCCAACAACCAAAGCTGCTTTTAGCACCCCCTGCACTTTATGCTGATTACCAGCACCCCTTTAACTACCAATGCCTCCCAGCATCTGCTGTGCACCATGCCAACACAAATGGCACATGCGGCAGTCAGAGGCAACTGCTATCTACTGGCAGAAAGCTTGCAACCCAGACAAGCCCTTTGACAGAACAATTATAAGGTACTTGGATCTCTACAACGCTACGTGTTGTGGCCCTGCTCCAAACACATTTTCGTGTACTAACCGTAATTTGGATGACGGAATAGAGACAAGTGAGTTTAACTACCTGATTCTCAAGTACTTGCATAATAACAGGTTTTGATTGCTAATACTGAAAGGAAACATTTAATTCGTCAAAAATCTGTTCTTCCATTAAAGTTTAAATATTTATGCAATCATTTCACATTCTGTTGTATGTGCAATAATCTTTAAATAAACATACTTTGTTTATATTGTACACAAATTTCTTCTCATCATCTTTTTAAAATGAGACAGAAAGTTACCCCCTGACAATACATGGCAATCCACAGATCATAAATCAAATTAAGAGACCAAAACAGTAAGTACTTCTTCACAAAAAATGCTTTATTTCATTATCTAAGCCTCAAAACTAACTAATAACCTACTAATCTACCTGGTCTGACCCATCTTTGCTGATATTATGGAGGATTTCATAGATTTCATGGATTTCATAGACTTTAGGGCTGGAAGAGACCTCAGAAGATCGAGTCCAGCCCCCTACCCCAGGGACAGGAAGTCAGCAGGGATCATAGGATCCCAGCAAGATAAATATCCAAATGTCTCTTGAAGGTATTCAAAGTAGGTGCTTGAACCACCTCTGGCAGCAGTCTATTCCAAACCTTGGGGGCTCAGACAGTAAAGTTCTTCCTTATGTCCAGCCTGAAGCGGTCATGGAGGAGTTGGTGACCGTTCGACCTTGTCATCCCTTGGGGCGCTCTGATGAACAGACGTTCCCCCAGGTCCTGGTGAACACCCCTGATAAACTTACAGGCGGCCACCAGATCACCCCTGAGCCTGCGCTTTTCCAGGCTGAAGAGTCCCATGGCTCTAAGCCTCTCATCATAAAGTCTGTTTTCCTGACCCTTGATCATGTGTGTGGCTCTCCTCTGCACTCTCTCAAGCTTCTCCACATCCTTTTTGAATTGTGGAGCCCAAAACTGAACACTACTCCAGCTACGGCCTCACCAAGGCTGAGTACAACAGGAAAACGATGTCCTGGGATTTGCTTGAGAAGCATCTATGGATGCAAGCCAGCGTTTTGCTCGCTTTACTAGCTGTAGCATCACATTAAAGGCTCATGTTCATCTTGTGGTCAATCATGACCCCCAAGTCCCTTTCACCCATAGTGCTAGCGAGCATAGCACTGCCAAGCCTATAAGGATGCTGCAGGTTTTTCTTCCCAAGGTGGAGAACCTTGCATTTTTCAGTGTTAAACACCATCAGGTTCTCATCTGCCCATTTCTTGAGCCTGTCAAGGTCAGCCTAGATCACCCTCCTGTCCTCAGGTGTGGGCGTTTTACCCCAGAGTTTGGTGTCGTCAGCAAACTTGGCCAGTCCGCTTCTGATACCCATGTCCACATAATTAATGAAGATGTTGAATAGCGTATACCCAAGGACAGAGCCTTGAGGGACCCCACTGGTCACAGGGCACCACAACGATTGACTTCTGTGAACCACCACCTCTGGGTCCTACCACGGAGCCAATTTCCCAGCCAGTGGATTGTGGTAAGGCCGAGGCCACAGTTAGCCAGTTTTGCTAAGAGGTGATCATGGGATACCACAGGAAATTTTTGGAGGAAGCATCCAAAAATGCAAAAAGATAAAAAAAAAAAAAAAATTTGAAACTCAAAAAAAACCTGCTGCATTAGGGATTCAACTGTT